AGAGACACAGAGGCCAAAGAAAATGTGGTGGGTGAACACCTGTAACTAGAGCAGAGACCTCGACAGAGAGAGAGGGAGAGAGAGAGAGAGAGAGAGAGGGGATAGAGACACAGAGGCCAAAGAAAATGGGGTGGGTGAACACCTGTAACTAGAGCAGTTACCTCGACAGAGAGAGAGAGGGGGAGAGGGGGAGAGAGAGACACAGAGGCCAAAGAAAATGTGGTGGGTGAACACCTGTAACTAGAGCAGTTACCTCGACAGAGAGAGAGAGAGAGAGAGAGAGAGAGAGACAGACGAAGAAGAAGGATAAAGAGAGATGGAGAGAGAGAGAAGGATACACAGAGGGGGGGAAGAGAAATATAGCGAGAGGGCTTGAAGAAGAAGGATAAAGAGAGAGTGAGAGAGAAGAAGCATACACAGAAAGAGAGAGGAAAAGAAATAGAAAAGGGGCTTTAAAGAGAGAAGAAAAGGAAACAGAGAGAGAGAGAGAGAAGAGAAGAGAAGAGAAGAGAAGAGAAGAGAAGAGAAGAGACAAAATGGAGAGAGAGTAGAAATACATAGATGAGGTAAAGACAAAATAAGAGTGACAGAAGAAAACGGATACAGATACAAAGATAGAGAGAGACAGAGAGAGAGAGAGAGTGAGAGATTGAGAAAGAGTGAGATATTGAGAGAGAGGGGGGGGGGGAGAAGAAGAAGGACGTGGAGATGGAAAACGATCGGGAAAGAGAAAAGATAGAAATAGAAAGAGATTGGGAAAGAGAGAAAGAAAAGGACAGAGAGATAGAATGAATATGTATGTGTGTGTGTGAGAGAGAGAGAGAGAAAGAGAAACATGCAATGATTAATGAGCATTAAAGGTTAAAGGACCAAAGATGCAAAATGCATACATTCCATATGCATCCCTGGGACCAAATAATTTTTTTAAATTCCCACAAATAATGCGTTGTTGCTTAACGTTTCCATAAAAGTTGTTGATTTCCCACCTAGAATTGAGATCAAGTCTTCCTCGAATTCAGGCGAAAGTAAACTGACCAAAACTGGATTCTCAAAGAGCAGCAAGCACAGCAAGCCTACTTCTAATGTGTCGTTAGTTCAAATGTGTCGTTACTTCAAATGTGTCGTTACTTCAAATGTGTCGTTACTTCAAATGTGTCGTTACTTCAAATGTGTCGTTACTTCAAATGTGTCGTTACTTCTAATGTGTCGTTACTTCCATTGTGTCGTTACTTCAAATGTGTCGTTACTTCTAATGTGTCGTTACTTCCATTGTGTCGTTACTTCAAATGTGTTATTACTTCACATGTGTTATTACTTCAAATGTGTTATTACTACAAATGTGTTATTACTTCACATGTGTTATTACTTCAAATGTGTTATTACTTCACATGTGTCGTTACTTCAAATGTGTTATTACTACAAATGTGTTATTACTTCACATGTGTTATTACTTCAAATGTGTTATTACTTCACATGTGCCGTTACTTTTAATGTGTTATTACTACAAATGTGTTATTACTTCACATGTGTTATTACTACAAATGTGTTATTACTTCACATGTGTTATTACTTCAAATGTGTTATTACTTCAAATGTGTTATTACTTCACATGTGTTATTACTACAAATGTGTCATTACTTCATATGTGTCGTTACTTCATATGTGCCGTTACTTCAAATGTGTTATTATTTAACATGTGTTAATACTTCACATGTGTTATTACTTCAAATGAGTCATTACTTCATATGTGTCATTACTTCAATTGTGTCGATACTTCAAATGTGTTTAAGTCAAAAACCAAGATTCCAAAGCAGATAACCAGTTGCTTGAAGATAACTCGTGCTGGTCAGGACATTCAGAGGTTCCCGTCTGGAGGATATTGTTGGACAGTATTATACTAGGGGAAACTTTTGCCACCACGAGTTCCATCCAACACAAGCGGGAGCATCCCGTTGGAACTTGAAAGGGAGTGTGGGGTGGGTGGGTGGTCCACATGCGGTTTGCCACATCGTGGTGTGGTGGGCTGGTAGGGGTGGACTTGTCCATCCGAAGCTAAAAACCCCAGCCGACCGCATAACTCCCAACGCAACGAGAGTAGTAACGTCGTAACATGATGACTTGTTGCCGTTAGTGGATATGAGGCTTGGGTGGCGGTTAAAACCCATGCCGATGGATGTAGCTATGCAGCCGTGAGAAAGCTGCTCCATGGCAGCCGTTTCGTCCCAGCTTTTAGTACCGACCTAAAGACACCTTGGGCGATGGTGAGCGCGGGGGGGGGTGTGTGGTTACGCCACATCATTTCTTCCCCCGGATTGGAAGGAAACCCGACCAAATCCTCTGCGAGAGTCACTTGCGAACGCTTTAAACGCGGCGTTTT